CAAATTCCCGCAGCTGTCATTGAAGACTTCGGGAATGAATACAAGATATCATTGAAGCCATTAATGAAAACTTCTACAACCTTCCAACCATCAATGATTAATGAGGTTAACAATGTTCTTTACTTTCCATCAATTTCTTAATACTTCCCCGGCAACCAGACTTACCTGATTTGGAAGTAACGACAATTGGACAATCGTGAACTAAAATAGGAAAAGCGTGATTCTTAATCATATGCTTAAACATCTAGCTGAAAATAACAAAGGCTATCTAATTAATTGCACGGGGGAAATCATATCGGCGAATTTGCGGAATTGGTCCTGAATTGATTCTAAATTGTATCCTCAAAGTTATCCGCCATTTTGTAGCAAACAAATATACGTACGTTCATATAAAGATAATTTAAGGGGTAAATAAATACAATGACATTGTAATTGTATCTATTTACCTCTTAAATTATCTTTCTATGTACGCTTGTTTGCTATATACAAACTTTGGGGATCACTTTGCGGATAACTTTTAGGATCAATTAAGGATCAATTCAGGACCAATTCCGCAAATCCACCGATATGTTAAAGTAATAATAAATATGTAATATACAATATAACACATGTAATAAAAATAAAAAAAAAAATAAATAGTAAAGAAATTAAAAATGTGGGCGCAGAACGATTTTGAGGGTAACACCGGAAACGTGACCTGACTGCTGGAAGGCACTTGCCCACGTGACTCAGTAGATTAATTCTTACCGCCCAGATCTGCCAGATATCCCGGATATGTCAGACCGCCCGATCCGGAGGATTAAGGATAATTTGGGAGAAATGGAGGATCTTAATAATACCGGCTATAAGGCCGATATTGGGTTTATTGATGAATCTAAAGATATATATGATTCCAATGAATGTAAATACATGAATTAATAATTATAAATAAAGGCCTTCTGGCCCTTCGGAAACGACAGTAGTTCCCGTTTACTTAAATAATAAAGTACCTAAGTCATATAAACATGCCTTACCAACTACATACATCCTTTTATTGTTAATTTAATATAACTTTAAAACTTAGTTAATTCTTGTCTTATAATTTATTGTTATAAAATTTGTAAATCAAATGTACCGTGTAAACATTACGTTTTTGAGAGACCCGAAAAAGACGAATCTGTCGCTAAGTCAATATTAGGTTCGTGGAACCAAAGTTTAGGTTACGTAGGGTCGAAAAAGCGTGTTAGATTTGGTCGAGTGGTTAATAAGCTCGGAAAATAAATAATACTTATGTTAAAATTTTCTAGAAATAAGAACCCTGAAGCTTTTTTATTATAGGATTTCGAGTATTTGTGTACCAGAATATACTGTATACATAGTGCATAAATAGAAATTTCTGAATAATATTCTTGTTCAAAGTTTAAAGAACTATTAAATTTTTAATTAGAGCGCTCAAAAAAAAAAAAAAGAAAAAAAAATACATTGGCTAAATTTGATAAATAATAATGCATGTTAAGTTAGCGCAATCAGATTTTACTAAAGTTTTGATTAAATGATTACAATAATTTATTCAATAAATAACTTTCGTTAAGAAATATACAAGCCCAAAATTTGTATACTGGTGATGCATTCTTTTTGAAAACTACTGAGCTCTCATATAATCGCATACTTCTCTGCATTCTGTTCCAGGAATTTCGGGTATCACAATTTCTGCTTGGTCACAATTTCTACATGTGCTAGTGGGATGCTTGTAAGATTCTATGCTAATTAAATTATAAGCCTACAAAACACAATCAATTATCAATATGGCGTTTGATGCCAGACAAGAAAAATATATGAAGTAGTGCTTGGATGCGTTTAAAAAAATCGGGTGGATTTTCTATTAGATATCCGTTCATATCGGATAACACAAATATATTTGCAGATAGTCGGATATCTATTAAACTATCTGATACTTCAATTAATAATAATGATGCACTAATATTGGCATGACTATATATTTTTTGATACTTCGATTATTAATGATGAAGTATTAATATTTGGCCATGAATAAATGACATACTTTTATACGTAAAATTGAATAGAGAATTCTTTCTAATAAAAACGTATTTTATCTTGAGCGCAAACCTTTTTTTTTTTACATAACTTATTCATAATCGTAATAATGGATAGTGAAGATTATTTATCTAGTGAAACCTCAAGCGAAATTTCTCTGAATTTTTACTATTTATTAGCATTATTTTTCAGAATTATATTACAATATATATGTATTGATTATATTAATAAAATTCTTATAGTAAAAATTCATTTAAGTTTGACAAAAATTTTCTATTTAGATTGTTTGTTATAAAAAGTTCATTAAATCTAGAAACGACTATATTGTTGATTAATTAAACGGATTTATCCGGATAATTTATAAGCGAATATCAACTATCCGAAAAATAAATTAAATGGATAACCGTTATCCACCGGATCCAAGCTCTAACATGAAGAATGCATCGATTAATCGTATATATTTTAGTAAAGGCGAAATGATTTTAATGTCAAAGCGTAGAAAAATGAAAATGGTTACCTTATTTAAATAACGTTTATAATAAGATAGACGTTTATAGTATACACTTAGTTGAATTTATAACACAATATACAATACAGTCGACCCTCTCAGAATCGGTATGCATGATGGACAGGCTTTTTATCAGTTTTAAGAGGTTATCGGATTTGAAAACATAGCAAACTATTAGATTTATATAACGGGAACGGACTTGGTAGA